TGTAGGGATGGAATTCCATGACTCACAATACTTGGAATACATTATTTCTCAGGATGAGGAGAGAGGGCTCAAGATGAACGAAAGATGCCCAAGACACAATTATTATCTCATCAAAGGCTTCCCTAAGCAGGGTCCACGCACTGTGCATTTTCTTAGTTCAAAAAACTATTAGAACACAATGCATATTTGGAGATGCGTACCTTGATACTGCATCAGTACCATTCTGAGCAACACTTTTCATCCTCCTCTCACTTAAGCATTATAAGCCTTAGTAGAATTAATTGAAAAGCAGGACTTTCAGGTGGATCCTGACACTAAGCCCTCTCTACTCTGTTACTTGGAATCATAAATCTCAGAAAACAGTTCTTAATTCTGTTTTGTACTATTTTTTCTGGTAGTGATTGACAGATTCCTTTTCCACCTTAAAGCTACCCACACTTGCTAGTCATTAATAGTTCTGTCAATTGGAAGAACTGGGTAACTGTTGACTGCTACCTCTCCTCCACTTAGATTGGCTCCTCCAGTGTTTCTGAAAACACACACACACGCATACACACACACACACAGAGAGAGAGAGAGAGACAGAGAGAGAGAGAGAGAGAGAGAGAGAGAGAGAGAGAGAGAGAGAGACCCACTCTCCTGTACCACCACTGTTGGTTTGACTTCTTCACTTTTGTCTACCAATCTATATGTTGCCTATCCCACAAGCCTGAATCAACCTATACTATCCCACAAATCTTTCACTTGAGTGTATTTCTCAATTCCCCTCACATCTAAAACCTACACATTGACCCAGGCAGAAGCATCTGACATCCTAACCATCCCTGCTATGGGTTTCGGGCTTTAAAGATACTACCCTTTGCCTTTGGTCTTAGATCTGGTGCAAAGAAGGATCATAGGTATAATTGCCTTGACTTACCTTACTTTTAGAGCATGCTCTGGGATCCAGAATCTCCTGGTCCAAATGGCCACCTATTAGACTTCTAGACACTTATTCTTAGTGTCTTAAAGTATTTATTTTATAAATATATTTGACATATTATGCTCATACTAAATATGAGAATTGGACTGATATAGGTTAGAAACATCCTTTATTCTAATATGGCACAAACACTTAGTAGGAGAGAACTAATAAAATAACTGAGTATTAATTTACTTTATGAGATATAATCTTAATCAATCCTAATAACTAAGGTATCTCATGTTTCCCTTTAAAAATTAGAAAATTGGGGCTGGAGAGATAGCACAGTGGGGAGGGTTCTTTCCTTGCATGCAGCAGACCCGGGTTCTATCCCTGGCATCCTATCTGGTCCCCAGAGCACCATCAGTAGTGATTCCATTATCAGGTATTACCCTAAAAGCCAAAACAACAACAATAAAACAAAACAGAACTAACTAGAAAATTAATACTCTGAAAAACTGGATTTTCTCCTGATCTCAAAAGAGGTCATGGCTAACATCTTTATGACTCTGCAGCCTACTCCTTCACTCTACTTAACTGTAGCCTAGCTAATACAAATGACAAAAGGGAATAGACCCTTGTAGATTTTGACCCTTAGAAACATCTACACCACAATTCTTTTGAGAGTAGCTAACCCAGAACTTACTCTTCGCAAAAATTGATGTTACAGGCTGAGACACAGATTACAAAGACCTACCTGGTAGCATAAAAGAACCTAATTAGAGATAAAAGCCAATTTTCCGGGGTGGAGCAATAGCACAGCAGGTAGGGTGTTTGCCTTGCATGGGGCCCACCCAGGTTCAATTCCCAGAATTCCATATGGTCTCCCAAGCACTGCCAGGAGTAATTTTTGAGTACAGAACCAGGAGTAATCCCTGTGCACCACCAGGTGTGAGCCCCAAAGCAAAATAAATAAATAAATAAATAAATGGTCCTTTGTTAAAAATAAAGCGAATTTTTCTAATCTTGTAATAGCTAGTTAGGTAGTAAGAGAATGATAAATTCTTGTTTGTTGAGAGGATCAGGGACCAGGAGTTTCCAAGACCTTCATAAATTTTGACCTGCCAAATTGATTAACTTTATTTTCACTTTTTGTTTGTTTGTTTGATTTTTAGCTGATAACACTGCTGCTCTTATCTATCATGGAGAAGATCTTAATAAAAAAAAACCTTATAGTTTGGTATAATGTTCCCATATGAAACTAAACAATATTCTCTGGTAAGCAAAATTTGATGAATAAGCAAGATTTTTAAAGATTTGTCTTATAAAAAAAATAGAACACAATGCAACATTTTAAATATTCATACTCTAGAAAAATACAGTGAAACTCCAATATTTTTAATCCATTTATCTAAAGTAATAGAAAGTGTATCATAATTAAGTTTAAATATTCTCACTTGATCACAGAATTATAATGTTACTATGAGAGTACTGAATTTGGTATATGATTTTAATTCTATTTTTTTTTTGTTCTTGGGCCACACGCAGGGATGCTCCTTGCTCTGCACTCAAGAATTACCCCTGCCAGTGCTTGAAGGGACTATATGGAATGCCAGGAATTGAATCCTGGTCGCTGGGTACAAGGAAGGGCTCAACCCACTGAACTGTTGCTTTGGCCCCTGATTTTAATACTTTCTTAAAGCATGAACAAATAAAATTATTCGCCTGCACCTTGGACATCGTAATACATTGTTTCTTGATTTTAACAGAACCTTGCGCAATGGTTAATCCCATCATGCTGTTCTGAAAATAACTTAATTGTGCCTTTCTTTCAGCACAGCAACATTTCTCTGGCGAGTGCCAATTTTTCTTTCACTTGAAAATCAACCAAATGTTTATCACTACTGACACGCCTCCCCCCCCTCCTCCCATCACCACCCCTACCCGCAACGCCTACCACCTTCGGGGTGGGGGAGGAAGGCGAGAAAGAAACGTCGCGGTAGTACGCACGCACTGTTCCTATTGCCGCAGAGTAATACGGTAACAACGGGAGATTACGGTACAAGCTAGGGCTACCGCCGGAGTTACGTCAGCTCAAAGTTCCTTTGGCTGAGGTCGGGTAGCTGATCACTAAAAAAGATGACTATGGAGTTATTGGTTGGCTTGCTGTCTTTTCTTCTCTCCTTTTCCCTTGATCTTAAGATCTCCAGGTAAAGCCACAACGAGTCCAGAGCCTGAAGGCATCGGTGGTGGAGGGGTGAGTCAGCGGGTGTGAAGAAGGTTTGTCCAGGGGACAGTCTCGGAGCCTCCCCAGCGGGGAAGCAGCGAGGTTGCTCCGGAATCGGATTCTCCCGGCTCCTCTAACGCCCTGCGCGGGAACGTGAGGCTCCGCATCCGCGCTGCAGGTGAGCGCGCGGCGGCCGGGGCTTGGCGCTTCCACGGGCTCCCATCCGGCGCGGGTGCGCGTGGGCAAATCTCTCTCTGCCTGGAGGTGAGTCGGACCTCGCACTTTCCCCGAGCCTCTTAGGTGTTTTGAGAGGTGGGGTTGGGGAGATGGGCGGGGGCGAGGGGTGTCGGTTGCCTTTTTCCACCTCTGAAAAACCATCCCCACCGGTTTCCAGCAGCTAGGCTGGGAAGTCAGCGCCGAGTTAACAAGTGTGTTTTGCAAACCGTACTTGGCGACGGAGCGGGGGAATGTGCTGCGGAGTTTGCTTCGGGTGCCACCTGTGAGCGCTTGAACTTGTGGTTCTTTTTTTTCCTCCCCCCCCCCCCCACCCGATCGCCTTTGACCTGGGGGTGTTCACGTCCCAGGCTCCACCCCAGATTCCTTAGAGAGCCATGAGTGCTCTGTGGTCAGTGTGCTGCTGTGGAAACCAGGATTTCGCACGCAGTTCGCGGCCTCCAACCCAGAAAACACGAAGCGTCCCCGGTGGCGCGCGGCCTTGATTGCTATGCCCCGCGAATCCGCAGTGCCTGCCACTTGCAAAGCCCCTTCTGCAGAGTGATGCCCCTCCATGCCCCACTCTTCCCTTCTCCTCCCAGCTGCCCGGATGCAAATCGAGGCCTGAGGTCTCCGGGGCTGCTGACTGCGTGGTTTGGGCAGGGTTCCTGAACGCACCTAGGTGGCGTGCAGCCCTGGGGCTTATTAGCTCGGGATCTGGCTTTCGCGCCAGTTTGGCTGCTGGACAGACCAGCTCGCTCCGCACAGCCAAGTGTGAGTTACTGGGGCGTGATCGTCCCCCTGGCGCTGGCCCTGCGGACCCCGGGTCGCGGCGGTTCCTTCCCTTCTCCCGCGCGGTCCCCTGCAGAGCAACCTGTTCAAAGGACCACCGGAAAGACCCGTGGGTTTCTGCGGACTCCGCTCGCTGTGACACAGGCGCCCACCGCAGTCCCGGCTCTGCGGCGTCGGGAATTTTTACTGCTCAGTCCACCCGCTAGCAGAAAGGCCGCGGGGAACTGCAGTTGGGGTGGGATGTATTGGCCTCGGATCTGGACCGCGACCTGATGCCGCGCGGCGGAACGCGCCAGGGACCAGCTCCCAGCTGCGGGGGCGCGGGTACACGGTCCCCCCCTCCCACGTCGCCTTTGCTGCGGCAAAGGCAGAGTCTCTCCGGGACCGCATTGCCTGCGGGGCTCCCAGTCCCGAGCCAAGCGCCCGTCGAGCCTGCAGCGACTGGAGCGCTCCCCCAGGGCGCCTGGCTCACGTCTCCTTTTTTTTTTTCTCTCTCTCTTTCTCTCTCTTTTGCGCTCCTGCAGGAGGACTCGGGCACACCATGCTCCGGGGCCGCCTGGACTGGGGCAGACTTTCGCACCCGGGTTCCTCGGCCTGCGCGCCTAGAGGCTGAAGCCAACTCCAGCCCACCGCGAGCGCGCCGCGCTGTGGGTAACCGGGAGCCCGGACAGTGCCCAGATGCCAGCGGTTCGCGCCTTTGATCGTCCGCCCCTGCAGACCAGCACCTGCTTGTGGTTTGAGGGGGCAGCATGGCACTAGAGTTGCGGGGTTCCAATTCTGCGCGGGCGTAATTTCGAAATCTTCGAGCCGCACCCGCGCCAAGCATCGGGAGGGAACTGATGTCCCCGTCCGCGCGGCTAGCGAAGAGGGTCTTTGGGGCAGCCACGCGCGCCTCTGGCCATGTCGCATGTCCTCGTGCACGGCCCCTGTGCATGGCTTTCTGAGGGGAACCGGAGCTGGCCGGGCTCGCTTTCCACCCGCGCACTCCTCTCTCACCCCTGTCCAGCCCCCGCGGGCCAGGCTCTCCAGAACTGAGACCTTTTGACTCCCAACTCCCTCGCTCCCGCCTCCGCCCCCGCCGGGGGTGGCCCTTGAGACAGCCGGACTTCGCCTGGCCCCAGCTGGGACCATGGTGTTTCTCTCAGGCAATGGCTCGGACAGCTCCAACTGCACCCACCCGCCCGCACCGGTGAACATTTCCAAGGCCATTCTGCTCGGGGTGATCTTGGGGGGCCTCATCGTGTTTGGCGTGCTGGGGAACATCCTAGTGATCCTCTCTGTGGCCTGCCACCGGCACCTGCACTCGGTCACCCACTACTACATCGTGAACCTGGCCGTGGCCGACCTCATGCTCACCTCCACCGTGCTGCCCTTCTCGGCCATCTTCGAGATCCTGGGCTACTGGGCCTTCGGCAGGGTCTTCTGCAACATCTGGGCGGCTGTGGATGTGCTGTGCTGCACCGCGTCCATCATGGGGCTGTGCATCATCTCCATTGACCGTTATATCGGCGTGAGCTACCCACTGCGCTACCCCACCATCGTCACCCAGCGGAGGGGACTCATGGCGCTGCTGTGCGTCTGGGCGCTGTCCCTCGTCATCTCCATCGGGCCCCTGTTCGGCTGGAGGCAACCGGCCCCCGACGACGAGACCATCTGCCAGATCAATGAGGAGCCCGGTTACGTGCTCTTCTCGGCGCTGGGCTCCTTCTACCTGCCGCTGACCATCATCCTGGTCATGTACTGCCGCGTCTACGTGGTGGCCAAGAGGGAGAGCCGAGGCCTCAAGTCTGGCCTCAAGACCGACAAGTCGGACTCAGAGCAGGTGACACTCCGCATCCACAAGAAGAGCGTCCCCGAGGTCGGAAGCGGGGGGTCCAGCTCCAAGAACAAGACGCACTTCTCCGTGAGGCTCCTCAAGTTTTCTCGAGAGAAGAAGGCCGCCAAGACCCTGGGCATCGTCGTGGGCTGCTTCGTCCTTTGCTGGTTGCCTTTTTTCTTGGTGATGCCCATTGGTAAGTCCTTCCACCACCTCTTTTTGCTCCTTAGGGTCTGCACCCTCTTTGCCTTCTACTTCCAGTCCAGACTCACAGTTGGGGGGTAGAAGAAAAAGGCTCTGCAATTCAAACAAGCCAAGTGAAGGCAGTGAAGAAAGGCTTCTGTGTAGGAACGTGATGGTTAATTCCTTTCTACTCCAGTCTCATTTATGTAATGTCCTAGGGCACTTTTTCAAGTACTGTAAAGTGGCTTCCAACTGTTGCAGATTAATCGGTCTCCTTAATAGGACTCCGATCACTTTCTTAATGCCTTTCAGGGTGTGTTTTAAATACATCTGACTTCTTTTCAACCTCAGCGTGCCTTCCAAGCACTTAAGCAGGGCCTGTGTGTGAAATGCTGTTCTCCTCTCTACTGTGAATTGCAAGTGCTCTTGGTCTGAAAATAAGCACCACACTCATTCTGAACAAATGTTTTCTTTGGTTATTGGATTAGATTATTCCTAAGGTTAGTTAAAGTGGTCTGTTATGCTCAATATATGAGCTATTTTTATTTTCTGGATCCAGCATGGTGAGCCACTGACAAGGGGGAAAATCATGATATTTATATTCAAGCCAAGCCTTAAAGAATTAATCATAACATTGCCAATAGGTAAATCCTTCTATCTTTATTTTCATGGTATTAAAACAAACATTAGTCTAATCCAAAGGCATTTGATAAGTTGCTAATGACACGGTTTAAAAATAATACAGTAATGTTACAAATCCAATTTTTGCAGATGCTAAATTAGCTGTTGTCAAAACTAATTAGCTCATTAGAAGTATCCGCAAGCTGATCTGTTTGGAAGCATATCCATCTCTGAAAGGGCTTCATGAGGTCCCAAAATGGTTTGCTATTTTTAGTTTGTAGACTCAAATATAGACAGACATTGGTTATCCACTAACTCTAGCAAAACACAGCCATGATAAAAATTAATGAAAGTTCATAACTGGTGCTTTAGAGCCAAATTTAAATGTTATGCCAAGTACTTTTATTTGTGAATTTTTATAATTATGACAGCTATTATTTATTGAGGGTCACCAGGGTTCCAGACATCTGGTAAAGTTTTTAAAATCTCAGTTCTCTCAACAACATAGTGAAGTATGCAGCCTTATTCTGAAATTGCAAGTGGGGAAAAGGGATTCTTCAGATTCTAGTACTTTCCTATCTAATCCCATAGCCACCCACAATCTGGTGCCATTTAAATGTGAATTAAATTACAACAGTATTCTGTTCTTCACTGCTACTAACCACATCTCAAGTGCTCAACAGCTACGCATGGCCAGTGACTACTATTTTGAACAGCAGGAATATAGAGCATTTTCATTACTTAGACATTTCTGACAGCTCTGCTAGGGAGACCAGTCTGAGTGCACACTACTTGGTCTTCCGTTATGCCTGTCCATCATTATTGCTTATCCAGCTTCCAAAGGCCAATCACAGACTGGAATTTACTGAAATAATACTCCTTACCTGCCTTTTTATATCTCACATTCTACTTCCTCTGAACATTTAGTCATCCGTTCATCCATTTACTCATCGAGGATTGTGGAGCACTTCTAAACACATAGTATAAACAAGGCAAGAAGAATCCTTGCCAATGTGATGTTTACACTCCTTGGGGGAAGATAGACATGAGCAAATGACCATATCCTAAGAAGTCAAGATTTAATAAGCACTATTTAAAAAGTAAACAGAATATGTAAATAGTGCGACAGGACATTGGGAAGTGGGTAGGCCAGGAAAATGCCTTTTGAAAAAGGTGACTTTCAACCAAGTCCTGACTGAAAATGAGGGGTGAACTTTGCAAAGGCAGGGAAGAAGAACTTTCTGATAAGAGGAACAGACAGTATAGAGATGAGAGTGAACAAACAACCTGTTCAAGGCAAGGCAAGGAAGCCATTGTGGTTGAGCCAGCAATTGAGGGGAAAGACATGTCGAAGAAAAGGCTGAGGATACAGACAAGTCAAGTGGATCTTTCAGATCAAAATAGAATTTGCATATTATTGGTTTCCAAAATATACAAAAGTAGTGTTCCTTTGAAACTTTTGGTAAGCAAAATGGTATAAAATCAAGATGCAATTACCATTAATTTATATGCAAATTTTTCAAGCATCCCCATACTCCCCAAATAACCTATCAAGTAATACCAAGCAATAAGCTAAAAAATGAGTATGTAATGAAAACAGAATGACATTAATACAATCTATGTCAAGTAGCTCCTGGGGAAGGAGTTGGTTAGGCCTCATATATTCTACATGGTCCTTGCTCCTCTACAACTGCTGCAAAACAGATACTGAGCTGCATCACCTTTTCCTCATTAAAATCATAATTTCTCATACATTTATTTTTGTTTTTTAAAATAGATACTGAAATTGGAAAGCCTATAGAACAAAGTATTATGAATGACTTAGAGGGAACATATACTTGAGTGTATAATCTCTGATGAGAAGCACCAATTAGTCATTTAAAGACAGATGAGATAAATATAATTGTGAATTTGGGGATAAAAGGGGAAGCTGGGCCACATACAAACTTGAGACTCTCCAATATATTTTTAGCCACAGAAATGGAGAGCTCTCCAAGACAGAGCATATGGAAAAAAACAAAAGGCAAAGGCTTCACATTAGAGCTTTCTGATATTTGGGGGTTGGGTAAAGGAGAAGTTATATGGAACTAAAGAAATGAAGAAAGAGTTACCAGGCAAGTAGGAGAAAAACTAGGAGTACATGGTATCCCTGAAGTCAAATGAAAATCTTCCAATGAGATAAAATCAGTAGTGTCACACACAGCTGCTCTGGTAAGTCAGAGAAGTAGGGATCAACGTTGTTCTTGGCAATAATGATTCCATTGGAGTATAGAAACAAAAGCCTGATTGTTTGCTGTTTGAAGAAAGCAGCAGAGAACGAGGGATAAGGAAAATACACAACTCTGGAAATGTTTTACTAGCCCATGAAGTAGGGAAATGGGGTACAGCAAGAAGGATCTAGAGAAGATTTTCAAAGGTAAGAAATGGTACCAGGGCTGGAGCGATAGCACAGCCAGTAGGGCATTTGCCTTGCACGTAGCCGACCGGGGTTCGATTTCCAGAATCCAGTATGGTCCCCTGAGCACTGCCAGAGGTGGTTCCTGAGTGCAGAGCCAGGAGTAACCTCTGTGCATCGCCAGTTGTGACCCTAAAAGCAAAAAAAAAAAAGTACCTCCTGTCTATATTCTAATGGGAATTAATGGGAATTATGGATTGGAAAAAGACACTGATGGGATAGACAAGGAAGAAATAGGATTCACTGCCCAAGTGGAAGGTTGAGAAGTCACTGGAATCCAAGGGCTATGAGCACCAATGCAATAACATATGGAGAATGGGAAATAAATATCTCTTCAAAATATATGTCTTCAATGAACTAAGAACCAAGATAATCAGTTAAGAGGAGGAAGGATTTAGTGATGATGGTTTTAGGAGCAAAAAAGAAGATCTTTATTCCCTTTGAGGTAATAAAGTATACAGATGATAGAAATTTGGACACCTTACTTGAAACTGATGATCATATATTTATTTAAAGTAAAGCCATTATTGCTCACTGATAGCTAAGGAGCTCATGGTTTTAAGGAATATTTTTTTTAGTGAACAAGAGAGTTTTTATTTAACAAATCTCCTTGTGGAGATTTGAGGGGAAAAGGAAAGGCTTATGTATTCAAGAGAGAACATGGGTTTCAAGGGAAAGCAGAAAGACACAGCAACAAGCAAGGGAGATATGTGTTCACGGGAGAACACAGGCTTAAAGAACAAACTTGTTTTGAGGAATATTACCAGTGACTCTTTTCTAGAGACCACAATAGAGGGTGCTTGAGGAATCTTATAGAGCTGGTTAGCTCTTACAGAGCTCAGGTGATGATCAGTGATTTGGGAGTTTAGGAGTGGTGACTCAGCTATACAAGGACATGAACCTGATGGGATAAGTCCTGAGATCTTCAAGTGGAAGAAGAAATTTCATCTAATTATAGCCTCCTTCTTGCATTGGCTGTCTTGGAAAAGAAGTTGCATTAAGGTGAAGAAGCTATTTCAGTGGAGGGGTCTTGTGGTATGAAGAAAGCATTCAGAATCAGTGGGTCCTCTTTAAATTCTAGTAGTTGTGGTAGATTAAAATTAAAAATTTAGTTAACAGCATCCAACCATGCTGCCCAGTAGAAAATAAGATTCCTGAAATCCTATAAACTTCCTGTATAGCATTTCCTCTTTAAAATTTTTTTTTTAAATTTTTGCTTGTTGGGTCACACCCGGCATTGCACAGGCGTTCCTCCTGGCTCATACACTTAGGAATTACTGGCGATGTCGGGGGACCATATGGGATGCTAGGAATCAAACCCGGGTCAGCCGCATGCAAGGCAAATGCCTTACCCACTGTACTATTACTCCAGCCCCAACATTTCCTCTTGACATCAAACAAATAATAGGTTATTTCTTCTAGGACTTACTGACTACATAAGAGTATCAGACCCTAAATTATACGGAATAAAAATATTAACAAATTGTATTACCCCCTGTACTCAAAGGTCTCACAATCAATTTAAGAAGGTGAGTTCGAAGTAATTGAACTGGAGAGGGGTTAAGGCACTTGTCTTGCATGTGGCCAATATCAATTCAATACCTGGCACCAGTATGGCTCCCTGAGCACCACCAGGAGTGACCCCTGAACACAGAGCCAACTAAGCCCTGAGCATCACTGGATCCAGAGTGACACCCACCACAAACAGAGAAGTTATCACAAATCTGTTATTAGCTCTTAAAATAATATTACAAATGCTGAGGAATCTAATAATTAAGTCACTGAGAAAACTTCTAGAAGTATTGTTATTGAGTGAGCAGAGATTGAAAGAAGATAGCACTACTTCTGGACTACCAGTAAGATGTTGGCTTCTTTTAAAACTATCTTTAGTACATTTCAAGCAAAGTGTGTTGGAAGAATAAATACACCATTTTATT